CTGTGCTGCAAAAACCTACCGCTCTTCCTGTTTCAAAAGCCAGGCTTTCACCGCGGTTACAGTCCCCTGAATCTCCACTGAATCTCTGTTGAAGTTCTATTTCAGCAGCAGAGTCAAGGTAAGCCTGGACGTAGTTACCACTCTATCACATTGCATATTTCAAGGTCATCTGAGAAACTTGGAACAAACTCCTCCAGTTTACAACTGCTAATGGTCTTTGAACTAAATTAGTACTTCAGGTACGGGCATGTTACTATGTTGCCTTTGAATGTTTAGTCAGGTCAAGTGTTTCAGGGATTCTAAGTTTCATTTTGATTTTAGTTTGCCCTTAGGTCAATTTTCAGGACCTCTTACCTGAGAGCTGAGCTTTTGGTCATGATCTCTTGCAGCTTCTGCCCTGTTGCATCTGTGTTTGTACAGCAGCATTGCTACCATCACAGTGAGCCTTGCCAACACACCTAGTGCACGTGGTGCTGTTTGGATTGATTTTGCTGCAGTTGACCCCCGCCAACTAACACTCTGTGTGTGTTTTGAGCCTGCCCATCCACTGGGTCTCAGGACACAGAGAGGGAGATGCTTTCCTGAGCTCCCAGTGCTTGACATGATCAGTCACTGGGACCAAGAAGTGCTTCTTTGTCTGTAGCCATTAAATAATTCTGACCCTTATGTAGTGAATTTGATCAGATCTATGTGAGGATGAACCTTGTCTGTCTTCTGAGCTGTGATCATAGTGCTTACCTACCTTCTGAGCTCATGCTTTATATATAAGCTTCCCCTCATCTTCTGCATCCTAGCAATTAATTGCTCGCTTTTTTTTCACCCCCTTTTTTTTCCCTAAGAATTCTGTGAGGCAGGTGCTATATAGATGGATTTTTCTGAGCTATTTCCTGATACAGCTTCCCCGCCCTTCAAAATCTCTGCACCAGCTTTGCTGCAAATAATCTGCAGCATGTTGTCTGCTCCGTGTAGGATACTCATTCTTCTGGTGTGTCTGCTACGAACCTCTTGTCTTAGGCATGCTGTGAGCAGTTCGGGAGTCCCTGCTTTAATTGAAATCTGCATCTTTTAATCTGTGCCACCCGAAGCTCCAGTCTGTATGTTTTTTCTCTCAGGATTCATCTAATTACTTCCCTTGTTCTGATGCCATTACAGTCATGCTACCATGTATAGGATGTATAACGTGGCCTTTCTGAGTTGTGACTGCTGTTTTATGTAGCACGGAGCAGAGGAGTGATGCCCACTTTCTGTTTGGCATTTGCCTTAGTGTTTGTGTGTTGTTTCTGCTCCTCACCCAACAGCTTGTCCACCTGGGGCATTCACCTGAAGAAAGCCTTGGCATACCCTGTGTATGAGCTACTCCTTGTTATTGCCTCTTCAGGATTTTCTTAGAGCGCATGAAACGTGAGGTAAATATCTGGATGTTGAAGTAAAGGGAGACTCTCACACTCCCTGCTGTGAAAGTCCCGTGTCTAGTACAGGACAGGTACTCCACACTGAGGTCACACACTACCTTGTGAGGCACCAGCTCCCTTCACCTAATCCCTCACCCAACTCTGATTTTCATGAGCCACGTGGGCCTTGTTATTTGTGTCTTTTATGCCAGTTTAATTAGTCATAGAAATTCACTCTGAGGCTCTAAGGCTCATGGTCTCCATCAGCTATGGCACTTTCTGTGCATCTTTGATAGGACTTTTCTTGTCACAGCATTATGTGTGACCCAATTTGTAGAACGGTCACCTCTGCAACCTCATCCTTCTGCTACACCCATCAGTCTTCCTTCTGCATTCCTTCTCTCCTCTACTACACTGAAGAGCATCCACTGTTTGGTTTGTTTGTGTGTTTGTTTGTTTTTTTCCCTTATAGAGTTAATTTTTAAGCTGCTCTAGGTCTCATTAAAGAGTCAGACAAATGCAGATACTGTCATATAGGAACTGGGGACATTACATAGCTCTGGGCAAGGAATGGAAGGGCTGCTTGCAATGACATCTTGCCACTAGCTCAGTTTAGCTATTGTGACAGGCTGTGCCCACTTTGTAATCTTCCAAAGTCTATATATGGAGTGTAACCTTTTATATACATGCATGCATAGGAAACTGATGCTGCTGTGATTGATCTTTTCTTTTTTTCTGTAGCGTTTCCAATTCCTAATCCTTTGTATCTATAGGAACAGAGTTAGATCTGGCACAGCACTCAGGCAGAGAAGAGAGAAAGTCAAGGCAATACAGCTTCAGTGCTATATATTTTTTTCCTCCACAATCCTGAGAACGTTAGCAACCTTCAAAGTACTTCCAGGGGTTTCTACACCCTATCTGATAAGCACAGGTCATGCCTGCATTGCACCTCAGCCGCTCAGATCAAAAAGCAGTTTAAAAGAGACTTGCTCCCTGATTACTGGTGTGTGCCTTTGCATTGCTACAAGGGGGAACCTGAATCTTTAACCCCTGCTAGACCATGTACCAGGGTAGTCCCAGCCTCTCTATAGCCTAGCTGTCCTGATGTTGGGTGTCCTAAGGGGGAATGCTGTGCCGACTTGTCTGTCTCTGCCAGCCACAGGCCCTTGGTGTGAGCCCAGTGGGGCAGCCAAGGTGGGCACCCTGTGCCTGCCCACAAGCAGGGGAGCCTGACGCCTCCTTGGCACCTGGGGTGCCTCCTGCAAAGGAGGATGAGTTGTCCTTCAAATGAGGATGAGAAAGATGTTGCTGCTGGCCTCCCTTATGCGAGATGCTTTAAATCCAATCCCAGAATTAGCAATACAGTGTGAAGACAACGAAGAGCAAAAAAGCCTTTTTGTTTTTATCAAAATCAGCACAAGAAATCATTTTGTCTTACTGGAAGTGGGAGAGGAAGGAACATGGTGTCCCATTGGTGGGAAAACTTACCAAGCTTCACCAAAAGACAGGCCTGCTACCTGATTTAAAGAGCTGATGCTGGAAGATGAATTTTGCAGATACGCTGTCTGAATGTTTAATTCTATATTAGTTGTTTCAAAATAAAGTTCCGTGATGTTGGGGAATTTAATACACAGGAAATCTCCTGCACAAAGCCATTTACTGAGTTATAAAACTTACGATATTTCAGACTTCTCTAAGTGTAAACGAATATAGTATCTAGTTCATTAAACTTGCATTTTAAAAACTTTCCATTATAGGGGAAGCCTAGCAGTTGCTCTTATTCACAGTTTACTCAGTTTGAACTACTGTTCATCAACACTTTTCTTTAAATCACCGAGACGATGTAGCTATTCATCTGTTTCTTTATGTTTTCCAACAGCAGTGCAAAGATTGCATGCAAGCTGGAATTAAGCCTTTTAACAAATCCAAAACATGCTGTGACTAGTGGAAATTTGTGGGAAAGACTATCTTAAAAACCCACCAACAAGCTTTGTCAAAAGTAATGTGATATCTGGGCACAACCATTGATGTGGTTAACTGTTGATTTCCTCTTCAGCTAGGGGTTGTTCCAAGGAATGGTGTCAGGAATCACTCTCTGGTGCACCCAAAATTCCTTCAAACTGGTAGGACATTGAATTTGTCATCCTGAAACCCAAGATCTCTGCATCAGACATGAAGAATTGGCAATTGTGGCTATGAGGGGAGTTTGGACTGCAATTTAAGCTCAGGGCCTATATTTAGATGCAATATAAATGTACTTACAGTAAAATAATCCCCCTCCTAGTCATCTAACCTTACAGCTCTTTCCTTAATGTAAGTCAGCCTCTTTAAAAACGCTGCTGTGCTGCCTGCAACACTTCTACAGTGATGCAATGTAAATAAAACTACCATGAAAAATGCTGATACTGAGAGCGTACCTTAATTATAAAGAACAAGTTTTTAATGGATATTATTATGCTATTATGGGAAAAGACCTACCTCTAACACTCTTTCTCCCTTTTAACCAGTGCTGTTTCTTGCTGGGACTGCTGAAGTTGCTACGATCTCTCCTGTTTTTCAGAAACTGAGAGTTATTTCCTTGTGGCAATTCGGTCATCTTTGTCCCTGTAGCACTCAGTGGCTGAACTTCCTGGAGCTGGGAAGGCTTTGGTTTAATGTCAGCCATTGATCACAACACAGGCCGAGTGAAATGTAATGGCCTGTAAAATACAGGTCATGGGTGATGATGTACGAGTCCTTTTTTAGCTTTGAGCTTTGTAAACCCTGTGGAAACACTCGGCTTTGCTTCTCTCCCACTCCCGGGCTCAGTTTTGCAAAGCTGCAGAAAGGGAGGGAGAAATAAACCAAAACTAACACGCTCACCCTCTCAGAAATGTAATTCCACTGAAAACTGAACTGATCATGGTTCCTGTGTGTGGTTTGTCACTCTGAATCACACCTTTGAGGGTCTCTATTTGGCAGACTGTCCCCGGGGACCACGCGCACGTGTGAACCAGCCCCTGCGGGCGCAGCAGGTCACAGAAAAGCCTTCTGCAGGGCAGATGCTCCCCAGGGCCAAATTCAGTGGCAAGAGCCACTGCAGCTTTTAATTTTCAAATGAGGCCTGCCGCCCCAGCACTTGCATGCGCGCACGGGCGGTTTCACGCGGGTTGCTGCGCACCCAGCCCCCGAGCCGGCCGGCGCGGCGGACGCGCTCCGGCGGAGGCTGGGAGAAGGGGACAAAGGAAGCGGTTGGGCAGACGCCCCCCGCCCTGGGGGCCAGCCTTTAAACGGGGAGGCGGTGGGGGCTGTCGTGACAAAAACAAACCAAAACAAAACAAAAACCACAAGGCAGAACTTGCGCGCTGTTGCCTTTGCGGGGGCATTTTGCAGGGGGGGGGGGCAGCGGCGGCGGCGGCGGCAGCTGCAGGGGCGGCGCAGGCCGCTAGGTGGCGCCGCAGTGCCCCACCCCGCGCAGCGCCCGCGGGCGCGGTGTCTGGGGGGGGGGGGGGGGGGGGGGAAAGGGGGGCGGTTGTGGGGCCGGGCATGCGCAGTGCGGCGCGCCTCGCCCGTTCGCCTCCGCCTCCTCCCTGCGCTGCCGCTCCCCCTCCCCCTCACGGCGGCGGCGCCGCCACCACCTCAGCGAGCGGGAGGAGGAGGAGGAGGAGGAGGAGGAAGGGAAAGAGGGAGGGAGGCAGGTCCGGTGGCTCTCTCGGGTACCCCCAGCGGCGAGGGAAAAAGATGGCGACGCTGGGAGGCGAGTCGCAGCCCTTCCCCGCCGCTGCTCTGGCGGTGGCAGCGGCCGGGGTGGGCGGCGGCGGCGGCGGCGGCGGGTCGCTGGGTTTGCAGGCGCCGCTGAACCGCGGTCTGGAGCGGGCGCTGGAGGAGGCGGCGCACTCCGGGGGGCTCAACCTGAGCGGCAGGAAGCTGAAGGAGTTCCCGCGCAGCGCCGCAGCCCTCAGCCACGACCTCTCCGATACGGTGCGGGCAGGTGAGGCCGAGCGACGAGCCGGGGGTGCGGAGGGAAGGGGCGGCCGGCGGCGGGCATCTGCCCGAGGGGGCGGGGAGCGGGGTAGGAAGGTGGGTCCCCCGGCGATTTAATCGCGATTTAATCGCTGGGGGACACACACACACCCCTTCCTCCCCTCGCCCCGCATCCTAGTGTCCCCCCAACCTCCCTGTGAGGAGGACGCCCGCTCCCCACCTTTTCACTCAACCTCCGCGGCATGAGGCATTCGCCCTCTCCACGGGCCCGTCCCCACACGGAAACTGAGTCAGCTCCCAGCTCTCCGTGGAGACCCTATGCTTTCTTTATTCCCCCCCCCCCCGCCTTTCTGTATGAGGTAGGTGTTTGCTCCCATATGGCTGGATCGCTGCACGCTCTCCCCCCCACTCCCCACCTCGTCGTGTCCCCCCCCCGCATTTGGTGAGGCAGATCTGGCTCTCCCGCGGCACACTGGGGGGGGTGTGTGTGGGGAGATTCTTGCTCGCACCTGTCTTCTTCCTCCTCTGGGGACTCTGTGTCTCCGTGCCACCCTTCCCTGACTGCTGAGGTTTGAGGTGGCAGCCAGCCCACCTTTGAATAGGTTTCGTGAGGAACGCCTGCCAGGTTGGATACCCGCTCCTTCCATCCTGCTGTATGTAGGTGTACCCACCCGGCACGAATGGAAGGCATGTCTGTACGGAACCACGTTAGGACACTCATGTGCCTCTGAACATCTCACCTATTTGCACGTCGCAGACGGAGACGTGACCATAGGGACACTTTTGCTCTGCAGCTACCCCGAAGAGCATGCTGCCTCTCACTAATGCCACTTGTCTGACACTGGGGTTTGCATCCACCCTTGTATCCTTACAGTCATGTAGTCGTAGTTCCACCTCTGTATGCAATACTATCTTCCAAGGAGTGTGGAGAGAAATCCTGGTCTTCACAGGCACTGTATGTATTCTACAGTGAGGAACACCATCATTACATAAATCTGCAGCGGGGACAGCCCTGCAGGCAGGAGTGGGGAGGGAAGGTGTATCCACTCTGCATTTACTTTGCTCTCACACACTTCTTCCAACAAGAAGAAAGGCACACTTGTTTCTCACCTAAGGAGACAGATCCCCACAAAAGGTCCTGTCTGTTTACCTGCCCCTATTTGTGCCCGGGATTGGAACCCAATCCATTCTTTACATAGTGTCACTAGGTAGAACAGTGCAAATCCACACTGGAAGAATGTCTTAGTGTATTCTGAAGATCTTCAGTGTACTGCCTCCGCATGCACTTTTGTGTCCCCATCTGCCTGCTGAGGATTGTTGTGTTGTAACAGCAGAAGAGCAGACAAGCAGTCACTTGTCCTTGTCACACAAAATAGCAGGTGCTATACCTCCATGCAGACATGTGATAACACGAACCTAAATTCTCAACTACTCCTGCACATGAGGGTATTTATGCCTTCCTATATGTTGAGACGTACGTGCTGACTGCATCGTTTTATCTATCCCAGCAATAAGGAACAGAGTAATGTCTTAGATGTGTGGTAGGCGTAACATGTAATTGTTATTTAGCTCTGTTACTTCTTTGCTGTTGCTGAATGGATTTCGCAGCAGTTCATAGGAACACCTCTATCACCATATCAATAAAAGAGAAACATGAAGAAAGCTTGATGAATGAAACTGCCATGAATTGGTAGCATGAATTGCCGTGCTAATCATTAACTGACTTGGTAAGAGATGTGATAGTGAAAGGGATAAGGCATGATAGTGGAACTGAATGCAGTTAGAAGAATGACTTTCAGCTTGTCTTCATAAGCAAGATGTTTTATCTGTTTTCTTTTTTAAAGTTGTAGTCTAATAAAGACATGCTGTGATACAAGATAAGTAGTTTGGAAATCCAGAGTTAGCTCGTTTGGTTTGACGTAATATCGATCCAAACTGTTGGAAAACAAAATTATGTACTGGAAAAAATTCTTTGATTGGCAGTGATTACATGTTTGTATTTGTATATTGTGGAAGTATGTTCTGTACAAGCCTGAGCTGCGTGTTGTATGTATAGGCAGTACATGCTTGTTACATGCTTACTTGTTCTAATAATTTTTCTATTCAAAGGAGAGCTCAGGAAAAAAAGTAGTCCTTCAAGCAGTAATGTGATTTTTGTCAGAGTTTACACGGAAGACATTCAATATGAAATTAAATGTAGAATGGGATTTTTGTTCTCTGTTTGGTATAAACAGCAGTGTAGCACAGCCCATGTCCCAGTCTTGTAACAGCAGCAGCCCTTTTTTCATTGTCCCTTTTTAGGAGAACCATGTGTTAATCTAGAGTTACTTTGTGTTTGTTGTTTGTAACAGCATGTTGTAACTGTTTAATGGGAATTGTTTGCCTTGTGAGTTAAGTCCTGTGTCAATGTATTTCAGAAAAATCTGTGTTCCTTTTCACTTGTTACATTACATACATAGAATATATAAACAGAAGAGATGCTTGGCTTAAGTCCAGATTTCTGAAGCTCTTGGGTCAAACTCTTGATGGGAATTTTCTCTCTCACTTCCTCTCCATAAATGTGCATAGTATAAAACCAGTACTTTATTGTACTACTTGGAATATGGCCTTGCAAGGAGTGACTTTTACTTTTGGATTCGATGTGCTGATATGTCTCTGAAGGCCTGAAACTTTGGTGTTTGGGGTAGGGGTAGCTTTTCAATGTTAAAGCATTTTTGCTGGAGAGGGCCAATCTCGCTGAAGAACACAGTCAGTCCTTGATTTAGAGAAGACTAGTCTGGGGGATTGAGTTTAGAGATCTGAGGAGCAGGGAATTTCCAGAAAACCGAAACCATGTCTGCGTCTTGACAGTGTTTTAGTGTGAGATACTGACAGTATTTTTCAATTCAGAAAATGATGGTCTACAGTTACTCTCAAATAAAGTATTAACAAGCTTAGCTTGTTTTCTAGAAAAGTTCTGAGTGCCTTAGGTAGGTCTGAAGAAGACAGGAGTGTTAAACTTTAAATTTTCTGTTCATGCATTGATTTTTTTCCTGAAGTTAGATGTTGGATTTTATATAGCAGTTGATATACTTATGAAAGGGACATAGCTTGTTTGTCTTTAATAGCTGGGACTGAATGATTTGACTTTTCTAGTTCTTACTGCAGTTACATTCCATAGTAACTGTAGAGGCTTAACTATACTTTTCGCTTTCAGTTTGTGCAACTTCTTGGTATGCTTTTGCTTCTGTGACTTTGCACTGAATACCTCTTGCTTATAGAGACATGACAGGATGTTTCTTCTTCAATCTTTAGAAGTTTTGCCCAAGAGCTGAGTGACCCCGTCAGATGAACTTTCAGGCAGTATCGTTGCACACAGAAGGGAGTTTGCGTGGTGTGCAGTCCTGTTAGAAGAAAATAAAACCTGTATATAAAGTATCTTGAGTTTAGTCAGATGTTCTAAACCACATCAGTGTGGATGCATTGCAAAAAACCATTTCAAAAATAATAAATGCTATTCTTATCACTATTATTACAGGCTGGGTTATGAGAAGACAGTGGCGCAGTAATCACATAGCTCTTAAGTAACAGTATGCAATTATAGTCCTCAAAACCACTGGGAATGCTGGAAGCATGTTAGTTTATAAAAGAGGATGAAAAAGCCCCAAAGCTGTTACTTAAATGTGTAACCATGGCTGCCTGTATCGCTTCAACATCTTTCTGTAGGCTTTGGCTGTATTTCTGAAGACAGATCCTCTGAATCTTTTCTGGTGAATACCTGTTTCATCCGTTTCTGTCGTGAGCTAAGCACACGAGCTAAGGATTACTTGCTGCTGCTTGTGATGACATGGGAGAGAAGCAATTTTTTTTTTAATCATGAATTAGATTGATAAGAAATACAAATTGTAGTATTTAATTGCTAGGAAATTCTGGAAGGAATATGTATTTATTTTTTGTGCTTTAGAATGATCACTAGACAAAATAACTCCTACTTATTGTTGTTTAAATGTTTATAAATGGACTGTGCTTGCTAGACAATGCTGTGTTGAAGACACCTTAGCCTGTCAGCGTCTTTGAAATAGTTGTTTGAACTTTATAACTACGGATTTGTTTTCAAGATGGTCCAAAAATCACAGTATCACCTGCGGAGTTTTGTTTTTAGCTTTTGGGGCACTTCAGCTTGAGTTTTGACACCTTCCCATGGAGGCATGTAAAGGGGGGAGGGGGGAGAGGGAGGGAAGTTACAAGCTGCCTTCCATCACAGCTGAGTCCAAGAAAGCCTTTGCTTGTACCCAACAGTTGGAAGTTCTTTCTGCTTGTCTTTCTGAAAAAAAATTATTGTTTGGGGGATTGGTACTGGTTCAGGTGAAATATGCTCATTTTAGTCCTCTTTGATAAAATAATACATCTTCCCATTTTTTTTTTTTTAAAAACAACCAGCTATGTGGATGGTGCTCTGAGCAGCCTGATCTAGTTCAAGGTGTCCCTGTTTACTGCAGGGGGATTGGACTAGATGACCTTTAAAAGGTCCCTTCCAATCCCAACTATTCTGTGATTCTGTGTATATTAGATCGCCATCATTTATTCTTGCTGATTTTTCTCCAGCTCCTTTATTAATGTAATTCTTCCTTCACTTCTGAGAATTCTCCTAATTATTGCAGCAGATATGCGGTTGATTTTGCTTACTATAAATACAGGTTGTTCTGGGAAGGACGTCACAGATATAGACTAGTTTGTTTGTGCTACTACAAACTTTCATGAATCAAAAATGCCTGCCAAACAGGCTGTTGTTTAGAATTTGATTAATATTTGCTCACTAGGGAAAAAAAGAGATTCGATATGCCCCTCTCCTTTTAAGAATTTTCTCTGATAATTACTGCTTTGCATCATTCATCATCTTGAATTCATATTTTGTTTACATTGTAGGGTTTTTTTTGGATGAGGCTTTTTGAGAACCTTTCATTTTGCTCATTTTACCCAAACTCATATCAATAAAAATAACATCTTTAATTATAAAGCTGAAAAAAG